CAAAGACGAATATTAATTTCGATATTGCAAGTCTTTCTTGGTTTTACTTCCTTCAAAACTCAAAATTCACACACTCATATAACGCATAAATATAATCGATGATGACATCTCTATGACATTAATGGTTGAAGGTAACAATGTTTAAAAAAACAAGGTTGAAGCTCCGCAACTTACCGTCGGCGCACATTTTGACTTGCCATGCAGGGATTTGTATTTCCCACTGAAAGATCGAGTGACCTCATACAGTGAGCTCTATATATAGCTGGAGCAAGAACTTCAGTTATCAATCTCGTTCCCAGGCTCTTAACTCTTGAAGAGGAAAGACACTGGTAGCTGGTCAAATATTTATCACCATATGAGGTAAGAACCTGGAAACGAGGTTACTTCAGTTATTCGGCCTATATAAGAATGAAGCCAGGATGGTGGGAATGACGTCCAATACCTATGAAGATCGAACACAGTTTTTTCTAACGCTATAATCAAGATGTCAGTTCGCTAATACAGTTATCATGCAGTTAATAAAACCATAGTATTATCGCTTAAATCGAAGAAAAAAAATAAATTCGGCGCACTCCTTGTCGCAGCCAGGAACGATAGAAAATGGGCTGAAACTGATATCTTATAGTTCTAGATCTATAATTGGCTTCCTTGGCTACCCTTAATTTCTTGGCTACCCTTAATTTCAGTTGCCTTAAATTGAGCCGATTCTTGACTAGAACGTTGTTGACTGGCACTAGCCCCTTCGACGGCTTCGTTGTCCGACATATCCTTTCGAAAAAATCACACCAAACGTACACAAAATAACAGGAAACTCCTCACCGACACAGAAAAATCACCATCCTCGTTGCCAATATACTATTCCACTAGTTTACTTGCTCGATTGCCTCTAATTTTATTGCTTTTTTACAACACAAAACTACCTAGCCCAATATATAGTCCACATGTAACACACTCCCTTGATGCTTCAGTTAAATGATGTTTCCACTTTTAGTTCCTTTCTTTTCTTGAACTTCAAATGTCAAAACACTACACTGTTTATTATGATAGTTCGTTAAAAAATCGTAATTTTCGTTTTCGTGTATTTACAGTATGTAGTTTTCAAACGTTCAGAAAAAGTGATAGATATAAAGTGTAGTTAGAAAAAGTTTCTAAATACAGCTTACTGTATTTAGAAATAATTCTAAACATAGCAATTAAACATATTTGCATAATGTTTTGTTTGCTCCCTCAATTTCCCTATTGTTCAAAGCCCTTCCCACTTGAAGTAATTATAGTCCTGGTCTAGACGAGGTATCAAGATAGATGCACGTGATGTAAATTACACCATGTCATTGGTCGAAATGCTATGAATATCTAATGATGTGTGAGAATGCTTTTTCGTCTGTGGGTGCGTTCCTTTAGCGCAATCCGGATTTGGATCTTCAAATCCGATTATCAGTTTCCAGTTTCATTTAACAAAATCTTAAAATAGATTCGAATCTGATGAATCCACCTCAACATATGGATTTTTCGGATTCAACATGAATCTTGATTAGGATTCAACGTTCCTTTTGAGCTTCCGGCCTTCTAGCATGTACCTTGACTCGACCGAAAGGTATAGTGGGACAGAAAACTTATTGTAAAAATGGCGGGAAAACAGCAGGCGAATTCCGATTCTCACAATTCGTTCCATTTGTTTACCGATTCCAAAAAATCCGAATCCGAAAAATCCAAATCTAGATTTACAAAAGAAACGCTCCTTATATATGTCTTCCCTGACTGACTTGATTTTGCTTTCAACCACTTTGGCAGACATGCGAACACCGTAACAGATGGAAATTCCATGGAGTGTCTAAGTCGTATATTGATTGTTCAATGATGCAGAACTCGCCCCCTCTTTTCGCTTGGTATAGAGAACAAAATTATTGCCTTCGGTTGCTTTAATGGTGTCTTTCCCGACATTGCCACAATTTGTTCATTTCTGTCGCAGTTTAATTATTTGATGGTATTCCAGGTGTATTTTTGAGGGTTTGTTCGAGGCTGTATTCTGCTCTTGACGTATGGCAGGTTGTCAAACGTGTATCTTGACTGTTATTGCATGGTTGATGTTTTTCCTCCACCATTATCGCGTTAGTGTGTCGGTTGAACCTAGGGGGCCCAACCTAGTGTAAAAGCTGTCGTTACTGTTGTCATTTCTTCCCGGCCAAGGATCCACTTATCTTGAATATCAATCTAAAGAGATTAAAAGTCTTTCAAAATTGTTAGAAAGGATTTTTCAATAAAATAGCTGCTTGTTGACCCTAAAAGTCATGATTTGCCGTCCTTACTGTCCTAAAACCCGGGGACTTGGTCTCCGGAAAATTTTTCAATTTTTAGGTTAGCGAAACGCTCCCACGTGCATATTTGACATGGCCTTTTGATGATCTATATGCCACAGATTTGTTTATTTTGTGCCATAGATGAAATGTTTACGAGATTAACAAAATATATGTGGAATAAACTAATAACATGGCATGTCAAATTAATAGATAAAGAAAGTTTTATGAACTTGTTTTTAAAGTGCATATGACATGAATTTTTTTATTTTCTTAAATGAAAGAACTCTTTAAGCTGTAGTGTAACTTATTCTTTTTGTTTTTTGTTTTCTTGGTTTGTTCGCGAGATATTTCAATTTGTTTGGTATATAAATGAGTGTGAATATGTCCGCTAATTTATGACGTCACGTTGGTTGCAAGCTCAACTTACACTGCTTATAAATCTATTAACTCTAAAAACTGTAGATGTCAGTTCACGTTTTTCTCCAGTATTTTATCACATTTACCACTGAGTGAAGTTAGAAATTATTATCTTGGATGATAGCCGTGATATTCAACCATTTTGAAGAGCTTGCAACCAACGTGACGTCATAAATTAGCGGACATATTCACACTCATTTACATACCAAACATACTGAAATATCTCGGGAACAAACCATAAAAACAAGAAACTGAAAAATAAGTTACACTACAGCTTAAAGAGTTCTTTCATTTAAGAAAATAAAAAAATTTATGTCATATGCACTTTAAGTTGAGAAATGCTTTACTGCATTTTAAAATTTTAAAACTAAATCGCCTCTTCAGCTCCTCAGCAGCAGATCCAGCACACAATAGTAAAAACCAGTCTGAAATTTACGTACTTTCTGCTGACACTGTTATGCTGTTTTGAGTTGAGGAGAAAACGTAATGACTTAATGATGCATGAAGCAATGTTTGTCCATCAGCTATACTTGGAAGCGGTCTATACGGCGTTTGTTGCTGGGATCTCTAAACGAATCTTTAACGTGAACTTCGACTGCCTTGAATTCAGCAGTGCGCACAAACTCGGCAATATTTTTCCTCCATTCGCAAAGAAGAAAATTTAGCGATTAGCGAAGTTACCGCATCAACAGCGGTTACTAAGTCCATTTCTTCTCTTTGAATTAAGATATTCTGAAGCGTTGCATCAAACTAAACTGTACATATAACATACCGGATTGCCTGTGAACACAAATACGCAATTATTTCAATTTAATTTCTTTAAAAATATTCGCAACTTGCACCCCCCCCCCCTAGTTTCTTCTCATTTTTGGAAGAATTACAATATTGATCTTTACAAAAAGTAGGGAGGGGAGTCCGTACCCCACATCCCCCCCCCCCATTGGCTACGTGCCTCCATTGAGTGTGAGTGAGCTTTTAGAATACAGGCGTTAGACAAGAAGTTGGTATAAAGGTAATGGCCTTAATGGGGAGGCTCCGTGGAAATTTCCAAAAAGCATGCCAGACAATATTTTATGGAAATTTTGAACCCAAATCACAGAATAACAATTTAACCAAAAGTCCCACTCGAGCTCTCGACAAATCAAAAAGCTGATTATTTATTTAGCGATCTGGAAACGCGTGCGTTTTATAAATTTGTATGGCTTGGCCGCGCTCGTTTCAGATAGGTAAACAAGTGTAATGTGGAGAGTGAAGCTTCTGGTTAAATTTTTATTCTATGCCCAAATGGAACCTTTTGTGGAACTGGAAAAATTATGGCAATTCTATAGAAATTTCATTCAGTATCCGGAAAGTGTTGTAAACGGACTTGGGTTATATGCGGTTAAAAGTTAAATTAAACCAATTTTCAATAAAAAGTTGTGTTCATTATTACACATAATATGGACATAATGCTTCGTAGATCTGCCTACATTTGTGCTCTATACGTGTTCTTATCAATCTTACCTTTACATGTTCAAGTTTAACATTTGTCTCAATTTACTGATGGAATTTATGGAACTTTTGTTTTATTTATGAAATTATAGTTGTCGCATTTTAATGTAGAAGCACTGCTGGACGCGCAGGGATGTGATAGATTAAATCGTCAGGTTTAAATTAAGGTTAGGGTTAGATTAGGGTCAGATTAAAGTTAGATTAGGGCCAGATTGAGATTATACATCAGGTTAGATATTAGAGTCAGGGTTAGATTAGGGTTAGTGTTCAAATTAAGACACTATTTAGTGATGCAAGTGCTTTAATCCAGTCTCCTCTCTGGAATCCTTAAGCTCTCTAGTATTAGCACATAAAGTAAACTCTGGTTAATTAATTAATTAATTTATTGACGAACGCTGGCAACATTTTGAACATGATTGTGGACTCGCATTTTGCAAATAGGCGGAAATTTGATTCAAATGTTGAAAAATCACAAATAGAAAAAATATCAGATCGAGAGGAAGGCAATTTTCCTCTCAGTTTAACCAAAGTTTAACCAAAGTGTAGCTGTTGGCTAATTATAGACCAAAGATTTGTAACTAATTAGAACCCGGATATCAATTTCCTACGATTTGGGCATTTAATTGAGCATTTTGACTTCAAGAAGGGGCAAAACCTTGGCAAATTGACCATATTGTTGGGAAAAGTTGTGATTGATAACAATTTAGAGCGTTAACGAAATCCAATCTTGTCGGTTGTAGGAAGAGAAAACTAACCCTTTCTATCATTAACGGTAATTTATTTAAAATACATGCACATGAATTTTGTCATTTTTATTTATTAATGTGGCCAAATACTAGAACTACACCAATCATTGTTTATTATACTGTATGACATAAATCAAAATGTTTAGATTCACCAACAGAATCCACCATGCAGGAGTTCGGTCAATTACCTGAAAAAAGAACAAATATTATTAAAATACAAGATTACTTGTATCTGCAAGATTAAGGTTCTTCTCAATATATATCAGCAATTAATCCAAAGCAGTGGCGAAGCAAGCCCGACTATTTGGTTATGCTATGCAAATATGAAATCATTATCATTATTCATTTCTTTAGAAATTCATTGTTTTCATGGTCTATGATCACGGAAATATTTGCATAGCATGACCAAATGGTCGGGCTGGCTTCGCCACTGATCCAAAGCTTCATAATTACTAAATGTTGTTGAACATGTCATTAAAATACAATATAATAGCACAACACATGCATTTGACACGGTAAACAATGCAAGGGTATATTCGCCGAAACGCAAAGCACTTAGGTAAATATTCTTGCACTATTCACCGACATTGAGGTGAATAATTGTTTTTGGATATTCCATAACACAACAAAAATGTCAAAAAAAGCAAGAAGAATGTTTTTAACAGCATCTCATAATAGTTGCTAATTTAAACAAATGAGAATTTATCAGCTTTTAGTCCCCGAGCCAAAGGGGCGGGGCGCCGTTTCTGGCGAAACCCAGGGCGAGGGTACTAATTCCAGATGGCTATTTACCCCTGGGGAAACGAAAGCATTAGCGAGGTCTAAAGTTCATAAATAATCATGGGCGCATGGCTATGCGGGTTCGCCATTCACCGTGCGTGGGTGGTCATCCTCACTGATCTCAAAATTATGGCGGACTATAATGAATAGCGAACACTGATTGGCCAAATCTAAATTGCTTTATAAGTATAACGACTGCATAATGACGACAGTGAAATAACAAACATTCCTTCCAAATATATTTCTTTTTTACAAGATTTTGCAAATTTTAAAAGCTCTTTGAGATTTTCATTACTCCATTATTTCAAACAAAAGGAAAGAAAAAAAATTAAAACAGCAAGAAATCTGTCAGGGACCTAAAGTTGGATTTTTCGCAGCTGTTCTAGGTCAGGTTCAATAAATGTATACTAATTTCCACACGATATGTTTACCCTATTTCCCCCAACCCAAAGAAATAACACAACAATTTAAACGTTTCTAATAAGGTTGCTGCCTGCTGCACCCGACTAGACTAGAAGAATGCTCGCCGCCCACCTTAACTTTATTTCCTTTTTTCTCCTGTTTAATACAACACATCCCTGTGCAATGTTCTCGGCTATCTAATCGCCAAACGTTACGAATACTACTAAGTGACCCTGCTTCCCGTCAGGAAAAACCCCTGTGGGGAAACCTGGACCCTCCCGAATGCAGATTCAGGCTCTAAATAACAATCTCGAGGGTGTAAGATTGGCCAACGTGCAAGCATTAGCTAACAACATTAAACTCTAAATAATCTGCTTACAACCTATGTAAGCATTCCCAAGAACCTAAATCTTTGGCAAATTTTGCTGGTGAAATACTGTTTGTAAAAAATTGTGTGTGTGTTGATGCAGTGCCAGACTAGAATGAGCTGCCCAAATCATGTGACCACTTTGGCGCCCAGCCAATAACCATGGCAGTCACGTGTTTGATGAACCGTGGAAACATCAATTTTCTGCTATCAGTCTGCGAACCGCAGGAAATAACATTTTCCATCTACAATACCCTTCAACTATTATTCAAACGAGTGAGATGCCAACAAAATCTTGACATTTACCTTTTTGGGGAAATTGATAATTTTGTAATTAAAAGCTACCGATTTTTTAGAAGGTTTTTCAATTTTAAAAATATACTTAATAAAATAATCGTGTTACCATGACAAATACTTGAAATATTTCATTTTCGGAAAATATAGTGGTTTTGCCAGCAAGGCGAAGGGATTCTGCATGCATGTAATTCTAGTAATTCTGTTCATTAGAAGTAGCACCGAAATAGCTTTAAAGAATACAATAACATCTGCACACTTTTAATTATAAACAAAACTTTGTGACTTTCTTCATGTCTGGCAAAACCGCAGCTTTGTTTAGTACAAACATTTGCTTATCGGTAACCGGAACGAAACGGGAAGCCATATAGTTTGGTCCAGAGGTGAATAGAAGAAGGATATCAGAACCTGAGCAACGTACCAATCAAATGGCTCGAAAAGCGCTATTGATCTCGCGAGTATATAATAATATGCTAATTGCAATAATCCTTGTTAAAACCAACATGAGCTCCACCTTTGAATTTACTATATGAGTAAATTCTTAAACACGTCCGAATTTATCATTATGATAAATTCGCGGCACATTTCGAATTTATCAATAGAGTTAATCATAAAACCACGAGCATTACACAAGATTTCTTGTTATAAATGTAATGGCACCAAAAGGGACGCTGGTCGCGCGGGGGCGGGGTGTTTTTCAAGTTTTCTAAAAAAATAGCCCTAAAAAAGGTTAAAAAAGTTTTAAAAGAGTTTTGAAGAAAAGTTTAAAAAGTTAGATTTTTAAAAAGTTAAAAAAAGTTAAAAAAGTTAGGGTTAGTGGTTAGTGGTTAGGGGTTAGGGGTTAGTGGTTAGGGTTGGGGTTAGGGTTAGTGTTAGGTGCCGCGAATTTATTATTATGATAAATTCAAAATTTGACCCGAATTTATCCTAATGATAAATTCGGACGTGTTTAAGAATTTACTCATATAGTAAATTCAAAGGTGGAGCTCATGCTGGTTAAAACAGATATTTGACTTACATCGATGATACTTGGATTCACAAATGTAATGATGTGGCCAAACGCATCCTTCGTCATTCCATTTTCCCAACTTGTCATTTGAAGTATACATATATACGCAGTCTTGTGATCCGCCGACATCGTTTGGCTGACCGGCCGCCCAGTTTAGATACGTCGCTGATCTTCCAGCAACAGTATGAAAGTTTGTATGCTGATAGCGCGGTCTATAGTAACAAATATCAAATGCATGCATGAATATTCAAATTATGAGTGAAACCACAGACACTCATAGAAGAGATCTAATACGCTGCATTTTGTCGATGTGGACGTCACCAAAGTGAAAAACCATAAAAGATCGAAGATGCTGATATATTGTAGGCTATGAAGCAAATTACAAAAGGCGTAGCACTGCGGACTATTAGGCCGTGGGCCAAAATTATTTCGCTTCGTGGCACCCATATTGGAAGTACTTGACCGGTTAGTGGTGTATTTGAAAGGCATATAGGCACGTTACTACCAAAAAAGTTCCCAAGCAAAAAACTTGCCCAATACCAAGAAAATGTGTGATCAATGATAATCCTCTATTAACTTGTATTGCACCAAAAAAATGTGAAATTTTGTATTCATTTACAATAAAAATAACTTGCATCATCGGAAACATACAAAAAATCGCATATAAGACATTTAAACAGTTTTTCATTCTCAAATAGTCTTTGAGGCTGTTTTAAATGTGAAAACTATTAAGTGGAGGAGTCAAAAACGCGTTTTTGACTGCGTATAATTCGAAAACAATTTAAAACATAAAAAAACTGTTAAAATGTCTTAGGTGTAGGTTTTTTGTAAGCTTTCTGATGATGCAAGTTATTTTTGTTGTAATTGAATACAAAATTTCACATTTTCTTGCTGTAGTACAATTTAATAAGGATCACCCAACACTGATCATCCATTTTCTCGGTATTGGGCACTTGGCTTTTTTTGGTAATGAGCATCTATGGTACTATACATTGAATCACTGCAGAAAATCTATCCCAGGGTTTGTCACAAAATTGCTTTTCTATAGGCACTTTTTCGCACAACGGTCCATGGCCTAACAGGTTAAAACTTTTTCAGCTACTGATAACGATTTGCTATTCCTACCACAAGAACGTTACTTAATAACACAACTGATCTGTATAAGAAGTGAAACCAGTGTTGTGTTATTCCACCCACTATATGTTATGGATTTGTGTTACAGCATAAGGAGTGCATGGAATCTGGAAAGGGGCTAGAGTAACTACGGCCCACCAAAAGTTAGTAGACGTGTGAGAGCTAAGCCAGCCAAAAAAAACGTTAGAACGGGATAACTAAGTGAAGGTGTAAGATTTTTGTCGCTTGATATGATTATAAGTTTGCATATCAGACTCAGAACGCAGGAAATGCCGTTTCAGAAAATATATATAGATTTTAACATTTATTAAAGGCAGCCTGTTGCTGGCTCCCCAAGGTTTTTCCAGCGTCAGGCTCCCTAAGGTTATTCCAGCCTCAGTCGCTGCCCCCCTAAGGTTTCCCAGTCTCCTGGCTCCCTAACGTTTTTCCAGTTTCGAAGCTAACCAATCCTCTGGTCCTTGTGTACACAGAATCTTAGGTTACTTTGCGGGCTTTTTACATGATCGAACAAACTTTTTACCATGAAGATAAAAGCACACGAGATAAGTGATATTTAGCGTATTTTAAACTGAGAAATGAAATTTTTAAAGGACAGATTTCCCGGACTAAACTATAGACAATAAGACGGATTGAATTCAAATTTCAATATTTTATATTTCTTGTGAAGCGAGCTACAGATCTCATTGCAGAATCAATATTGGTAATTTCTCCAGAAATTGTTTAGTGAGGAACCACATACTGTAGGCTACGTACCTAAAATATCCAAGCCAGAATTCATGCAATCCTCGTTTTTTTGCTTCAAATGCCAAGCGATTGTTTTCGGTCAAAGTGGATATTATAGGCAAGTCTCCACCAAGGTGTTGGCATGACAGGCGAGCGACCTCATACTTCACAGAGTTAGCGAAAAACTTGTAGCATTTAGAATCAATATCAATCCAACCATGCGGACACGCTATAAGAAGAAAACACGGTTATTAAAAGTAGTGAAACAAATCGCATGGACATTCGTTTTACTTGGTTCCAGGTAATACGATTATTGTCAGGAACAGACTATTTACTCTACTGGTATCATGCCTCATGGAAAGGTCACACGTTACAGGGCCCTGCACAATCTTGTAAACAAAATGGCGACATACAATCTTGCTTACGTAAATAGCCAGCATGGGCTTGACCTTGGAGTTTACTATATGAGTAAATTGTTTGAAACACGCCTGAAATTATCAGTGCCATAAATTCGCGCAATAACTTATTGGGATAGATGAACCCTAATCTAACCCCCAACTTTAACCCCAACCCTAATATAACCTTAATTTAATCTAACCATAATCTAATCTTAATCTGACACTAATCTAAATTTGATGACCTTTTTTGCTACCGTAGGCAGCTCACTAATCTCGACAACTGATTTTGACGTCATGACTCGTGCCAGTTTCCTTGACCGAGTTATAACGATGCAGCTTGAATCAAAATATATAGTCCAGCGGAAAAGTAAAAAATCATGCACTTTGTGAAGAAAGCACCCAATTCACAGGAAGTGTAGACTTTAACGTGATAATGAACCTCAGATATGGAGGCATCACCAAAATTGATGCTGACGGCTTAAAATTTAGGATTTCTTATATTCTCTTATTTGAAACTCTATTACTGTATAAAATTGTGAAATTGCAGGTTCACATACAGCATAAGACTTTTAAACGGCTGATTGATTTTCCAAGCGGTTTTCCAGATATTGCTATTTAAAAATGTGATAAATAGCCAAAGTCCTGGACACTAGCCCTAAAACATGTTTTCAACCGCTCATAACTCCAGAGGAGTCAGAAAATCAAAGTAACTGCTTAAATGTCTTATATGCAGTTTTTTGTAAGCTTTCTAATGGCACATGTCATTTTTGCTATATGTGAACCTGCAATTTCACAATTTTTAATTGTATAAGAGATTAATTAATAAGAGAATATAAGAAATCCTAAATTTTAAGCCGTCAGCATCAATTTTGGTGATGCCTCCCTATCTAAGATTCATTATCATGTTAAAGTCTACACTTCCTGTTAATTTGGTGCTTTCTTCACAAAGTGCATGATTTTCTCAAATATCTGTGCATATCCGCTGCACTAATAGAAGAAATTCGGATTTCTGTCAGTCGGGAATTGCTCGTAAGTCCCCGTAAAGCTCTCGCTCGGTACTTTCCGCCATCACAGGCACAGGGTATATAACTATTAACTCAACCACGAAGTAAAACATCGAAATGACGTATAGTGTTGTATAACGTTGTATAGTCTTGTTTAGTCTATTGTATAATAGTCGTCTATAGTGTAGTATAGTGCCGTATAGTCTTGCATAGTGTCATATAGTCTTGTATAACATTGTATAGTGTTGTAGTGATGTATAGTGTTGTATAGTGTCGTATAACCTTACATATTGTTGAATAGTCTTGTATAACATTTTAGAAAACTCATTAATAATTCATGAAGAAAACACAAAGAAAAATCATAAGCGTATCGTATCTGTATATGTGATACAGATTCATGTTGATTTACATAAACTTTACTTTGATTTTCTCGGCTTAGACAACGTTTATTTTTAAAATTACTTCGCCAATGAACTCATAAGATGAGTCGTTTTTTAAGTCATTTACAACATTCGCGTCCGTGTTGTATTGGATATACAAACTCTCGCCTTCGGCTCGAGTTTGTATATCCGATACAACACGGCCGCTCATGTTGTAAACAGTACGTATAGTGTTGTATAGTGTTGTATAGTGTTGTATACTCTTGTATACTGTAGTGTCGTATAGTCTTGTATAATTACTGACGGCCATAATAACCTATTGTTTTCTCTCTGCATTATATCAGGGAATGTCGAGACGTTTTAGCGTTCTTCTGAAAAACGGGAGTGGTCTTTTTTGATTGTAGGGAAATACCCAGGGGTAAATGTTTATACGGGCTAAAATAGCACACAGCATTATTAAAAATAATGCAGCGTGCACACAGCATTATTAAAAATAATGCAGCGTGCACAAAGCATTATTAGGGAGTTTACGATCTGCGACGTGGCCGGCTCAACGACGCGGTCTAAATTTTAGCTCAAGAATGAGCGCTAAGCAATTCGATTACTGTAATAAATATTTGACTCTTTCAAATAACCTTACAAAATGATACGTGCGGCTAAAGCGATGCAATGTTTGCTGTAATTTCGACTTTTAGTAAGACCTCTTGTGTCGCATTAAGCTTTCGCGTTGCCTGAAAGACGTAAAAATGCTTTTTTAACGTTGTGTTGAGAATGACAACGCGGTTGACAATACTCATCGGACCACAAATTATTGACAGTTTTTGTCTTGCATGACAAATTTCTTTGTAAGTTCTTTGTAGGTTTGCATGGCGATAAAACACCAAATTTCTTTGTTTTGAAAGCGCGTCGTCGAGCCGGCCGCGTCGTAGATCGTAAACTCCCTATTACAAATAATGCAGCGTGTATCAGTGCACACAGACACTATTTGCAATCCTTCGTCATCATGACAAGTACACGCGATAACGTGAACATCTCAAGATGAGAAGTTGACAAGTGCTAAAGGCCCCTCATACAATATCATCGGGCTTCTGAAGCACTGCCAAAACGGTCTCTGTGAGTCCTTTCAGCTCAACTTTATAGAGAAATAGTTTCGTTTGCGCTTGTGGGATTTTATCCTAGATATACGCATGTGCAGAACACACCATAAGTTCTATTCCCGTGTTTATCCAGTTTAATACGCTCTTTGAATTAACGGCTTATCATTAATGATAATATGTAAACTAGAACACTATAATTGACCTCCGCTTGTGGAGATTTTAATTTAGGGCGATTAATTAAACTGAAATCTGTTCTATCACGATGCATTACATGCATGTCCTCACAAATGTCTAGTGTAACGTTGGATAGATTCATTGTCATACGGTCCCAACAAGCAGCAACGTAGTCTTCCAGCCGAAAATAATTACTTTTGATTCGGGTCAGTAATTATAATAGATAATTACTGAGGCCAAACGGCATTATTCGATATATTGCAGCCAGCTTCGGCCTTCGGCCTCAGCTGGCTGCAATATATCGAATAATGCCGTTGGCCTCAGTAATTATCTATTAAATAATTGATGCAAATAAATTGAAATATTGAAAAAAATTATTTAACACTTTTGTGTGTCTTTAAATTCAATGGTTTTCATAAAAAGAAGAAAGGGGGAGGTTTAGGGGCCTCGCGCTAAAATTTGCCACGGGCCTCGCGCGACGTTAATCCGGCCCTGGTCAAAAGAGAGCACTGATGACTCCCCCCGTCGAGAAATACTGGCGCAGCCCAAACCAGCTCAGTGAAATATGGGGCCCCAGGGCCAATTATACCCTTGGGGCCCGGGTGAACCACAATTACCCCCCTCCGTCGACAAACTTTTTATCGCCTTGCAAATTTGTATTTGCCTGTCTTCCTTGAGCTGGGGTCGCGGAGAAAATTGCTCCCTTTTCCGCCTCCCTGCATGGGCGGCCCTGGCGCCGCCCTTGTCTTATCATAACTATCTACCCTAATTCAAGCTGATTGGCGCGGCTCGATGAATTAATTGCCGCTTTCAAGCAGAGGTTTATTATTTTAAACCTCTAGAACCTGGGTACCTTTTGTCACTCTGAGGCCAGCGAAATGACCTCTTCCGCAATGCACGTACACGTCTACTATCGTCAAGAAACAATCAATACGTATAATCGTTGTGGTCTAGCTGTGGGATTTTAATTCAATAGTGTAAACCTTGCAGTCTTAGGGAAGCCTGACATATCGATTTTTTCCACAAGAAACGTCATATGTTCGTTTTGGGGGTGGGGGAGGGGGGTTTACAGCTGTGACGTCTCTCTGTAAATATCATGGAAAAGTTCGATAGTTTTTTCGAATACCTTAACATTTCGGAATCAACTTTGCAGAGTATAAAAAAGAAAACAACTTGAAAGAAAACGACTATTCAAATATAAGGGCTGGTAAACTAAAAATAAAAACTCCTTATATGGATAAACATTATAGACGTTCATTTCACATGTACACGCACGCTAACAGCTGCTTAATAATTAACTTACGTATTTGTAAACATCAGTCGATAAATAAAATGGTACATTAATATGGACTGGCAAAATGGATCAAAACCTCTGAAAACAGCAGTTGTAGTTCCAATTCTTTTGGGGAATTTAGTAGCAAATATAATCCTTAAATAGCTCATCGATTTGTATATGTTAGCGCTAAAGTCAAACGGCCGGGTCGTAGATCACGTTGAATAATGATCTGAAGTTATCATGCAACCGTCAACAATGTCTCAAAATACTGGATGTTTGATGATTTTTTTTACAAATATACCGGGATTTCTGGACCACTTTTAAACTTAGCAAAGCGAAAAGTCCCCATTCAAGAATATGTTTTTTCTCAAAAGGTAAAATACTTAATAGAATACTTGATTAAATTGTTTACTTCGACGGTGTATAAATTAACAGCGTTTGACTTGCAAGACGTCAAAAACGGAAGATTTCAAAGCGCTGTCGTTTATCGCGTATTCATTTGCCAAAAGAAGTATTTACGTCAATTGAAAGCTTGTTTATTAAAGAGCCAACTAGTAGAAGCATGATCGATTTGGAGCTTTATCGCATGGTGAAAATCGATTTTGTTAAGAGGGTATCGTAAATGAAGTAAGATAGTGTGCTCCAAAACTACGATTATTTCTATTCCTAAAAGTAACTCAGATTTCCTGTAAGTCATGTACACAGTCCTTTGAATAACCGAAAACAAGATTTTTAGGGTTTTAGATCGATTAGAAACGGTTGTCGTCGTGAAATTTATCTGTAAAATCAGCGCATATTTTCCCAGAAAAAATGGCGATTTAGGGTGGTCGTGTTAAAACGGCATTTTCTCAAAGTTAAAAAAGCATTTGACCTAAAAAAATATATAGTGCATTTTCCGATAT